TCCATTTTCTTGTATAGGTTTAGGGTGTGCTTAATGAGCAAACAAGATACTCCCTCCGTCCTATAATGATCTTCCCGGTTCGCAAAACGAAGAAAAATCCCAAGTTTTTTCAATCTATTTTATTTAAATATTGGTATAGAAATAAAAAATAAAACATACATATTTAAAAACTACATCAAAAGTTCAACAAAACAAGTGGTGACAAAAATATTTTATTTTATCATATAGGCCATGAAAAAACACAAATAAATATAAATTCCCGTGAAGCTGGAATAGTGCTCCGGGAAGATCATTATAGAACGGAGGGAGTATGAGTTTTAATATCTTCAAATATCAATTTTTTTTGTGTTTGATGAAGCCAAAAAAGATATCAAAGTCGATATCTCCAGATGTCATAAATCTTTCAAATGGAGAATTTTGATGCCTCTCAAATTTGAGAAGTATCAATATAGGGATTTGATATCTCTCTCAATCATTAATCATTCATCACCGCCAACCAACCCTGTTGCCGGTCATCCCTACTTATCACTAACTGAATCATGATTTTGAATCTCTCCAAACAACTTCGTTTAAGTTTTCAAAACTCATACCATTTCTTCTGTATTTCATAACACATATCGTATCATATCTCCAAAACTCACCAAACGAGCCTATAAGATCAAGAGATCCCGAGATTGGAATATGGATGACATGACTTTAGGACCATTGGGTCAACAGTCGCACACAAGCATGCGACCATTGCTCCTTTGGGGCCTAAAACTATTGTCCTTTGACCAAAGAATGCTACACTTGGGCAACAAAAGGAATCAAACACAAAGAGAATGAAGTTCATGGAGCCATACCAAAGAGGGGAGATGACAGAAGAGGGAATGAGCAATTCACGGGAAGAAACTAACCAAACACTAGTTACCGATTTGGGTTTTCTCGTTCTTGAGTACCATCTAGCCAATCACACTCCATTCTCTTAATCCGTATAAAAGCATTATATAAAATTTAAAAAACACTCCATCTGACCTGAAACGTTTTCCCGCTTACTTTTTGCGGTCATCCTAAACCATTGTTCCCATGTTGTTTCAAGGAAAAGTTTGTCGTAAACAGTCTGTACTTATTAAAGGTAACGTCCCCCAGACCCTACTCTACTCTTTTATTGGGTGTAATAGGTTTGGTTTTGGTAGTGTATGACAATGCTAGTAAAGTTGTCAGAGACACACGAAACAAGTAGTTTATTATGCAGCATTTTCCCTGCATTTGGAATATGTAGCAAAAGGGCAACACTTATAGTACTTGAAACTAAAACAGGTTAAATTGCTTCATACCAAGGTCAAAACATCACGATACCATCTTACAAATTTAAATAACCCCAAACAGAATTGAAACTACTCCATATGTTCTAATATTGTCCACGTCAATTGACCAGCAAAACAAGCCAAATTTCCCGGGGAAAAAAGTGTTCATTTAACATCTTCTCAAGTTCAGAATGATATTATATAGATGTAAATTAAAAAAAAACCACTTACCCATACTGGTAGTTTCTTCATTCTTGTGCCCCACCCTGGATCCTGAAATTTTCCGCAGTAATACTTTAAGCTAATGAAATCTACACAGAAAAAGTTTGGAAACTACACATATACAAATGGAACAATACCATCCTATTCTACTCAGACGTAGAAACTCAGAAGACCTGTGTCCTGGTAAATCAGAGAATAAAGCAACTCACCAATTGAGGCGCCAACCTATGGTTTTCTTAGAATCGATCAAATGGTTTGCCATATTCATTGCGTCTCTGACAAAAATCATCATAGCTGTCATGGGGCCTTGATGGGGGATAACCGTCCATGGGATTTGGATACCTGGTCCTCGAATCTGCAGGCAAATTGGATACTGAATAGTGTGCATTTCCTGCAGAGCTTGAATACTCCGGATAGCTAGTTTGTTTGTATGGATGACCAAATCCAGAAGTGTGCATATTTTGCTGGCTAGCCTGTTGCATCATTCTTTGGGCATCGATTTGAATCAACTCTTCCTTTTGCTTGACATATGACCCTCTAATGATAGCCAGATTCTTCAAGTAATTCTCCCTTATTTCTCTGACAGCCTAGGTTAGGAATATGAATAATTTAAAAGAAGACAGTCAGGACAGGAAAAAAACATAAATGTTTAGGGTGTGTTTGGTTCACATTTGAAGATGGGAGAAAGCAGAGGGGAAGGAGCGTGTTTTGAACCCCAGTATTACTTTGTTTAACACTTTAACTTTGTAGGATGAGATGGGAATAAAGCTTAGCTTCAACTCTAAAATAATATCATCTCATACATCCAAACCAAACACACCCTTAAGAATCTATCCAAACAAACACACCCTTAAGAGCCTAACAATCTCAAAGCTCAAAGGCATGAGTTTTGAACAAAAAAACATGAAGTGAATAAATGAACAGCAATTTTATTTTAAAGATAAAGTCACCAAAAAAAACATGCCTCACGATGCTTATGATTCTCTTCATCTTCTTCCTTGTCCCGAATTCTTCCAAGTTCATCTGCTTCTCTTTTATATGCCAACTCTACTTCTTCCAATGTCTGAAGAAAAGCTGGGTAGTGAACACCACGGCCAGAGTTCATGTCAGACACTCGTGGCTCACCATCCCATCCATCAGTAGCCCTGAAGGCTTCCCTGCTCTGACTACGACTATCACGAGAATTGTATGAGTTGGCTAAAGAAGACCTTCGACCTGGAGAACTTGACTGGCTTGAACGTCTTCTAACTCCATCATTACCATAAGCTACACCAAAGGAAAAAAGTGTTATAAACTTCTATTTAGGCCTCTTGAGTCACTATTATGATGGGGTAGCTTAAACACAAAATATCCTTTCTCATTGATCCCTCTAAAGAGTCTGGACATGCTGTGCCTGTCAGTTTAAAAACTGTCCTTTGGGTGAGGGTACCTTTCTAATATCAGACCACCATGAAAGTTACATCAGAATCGAACAGAATTCTTGGACAGAAGAACTTACCTCTTGCTGCAAAAAAGTACAGGCAACACGCACCATTATTTTATTAATATATCAAAACAAAACTGAAGAATTTTAAGGGAACAAGTACTCAAACAGAAAAAGGCATGTCATGTGTTAAAATCTCTTGCATGTACAAACTAGACATGATGCTAACACATCAGTGTGAAAGTGCAATTATATCATCTTATTTTCCTACCTTGGGGAGAACCCCGGGAAACGTTTTGCGAATCATCATGAAACCGATCTCCAATGAGCTTCTCTTGCCTTGCATGCCTGACATCAAACTGTGAGGCTCTATGTGGGCTATGATTAGATCTTTGCAAATCAGAATGTACCAAACGAGAACTAACTGGACTCCTGCGCTCAGGAGGTGTCCTGGATCTAGAAACATTAGAGCTAGAAAAAGATTTTTTCCCACCCTCTTCTTTTACTTTGTGAACTGCATCCACACCTTTTTTCAAGATCAACCTGTCCTTCCCGCTGACAATGATAAATTTTTCCTCTATTTTAATCTTGCAACCAATATCCTTCTCAATCTGAGTCACCACTTTCTCAGTGAACAAGGCTTTCACATGATTTTCTCTAGCAGGCACTCTTTCAAAAAAATCTTGAGACTTCCGATTAGCTCCAAGAGTTGATGGACAGCCCTAAAAGTACGCAGGCAAAGATTTAAATAGCATCGATAACTATAACTTTTTCAGGTCAAAAGGTCGAGTTTTATTTCCAAATGCTAAACTGTAGGAATACCAAATGCAAAAAATCAAGAACTTCTTACTCCTTTGTGACAATATAGGTGTGCTTACATAGATATAATCATTATCATTGAAGTAAAAATCTGTAACAATAAACTTATAGGCAAGAGGTTTGAGGAAAAATCCACCAAATATCATGTTTGTGATGACATACAAAAATTTAGGCTTCATACGGCATTCAATGGATTTATTAAGATCTCGGAACTGGAAACTTTGTTTAGAAAAACAGTATATATTTTTTAAAGAAGCCCTGAAAAAAGGTCAATAGAATCATAGTTCTATGGAATGACAACACACATCCACTTGACTACTTCAACATGTATTGCCCACATAAAAGACCCAAATACAATAAGCACTCATTCGTGAAAAACATAGAATCATAGTTCTATGGTATTTTGAGGCATTCGTGCAAAACAGTGTAACAGAAAAAAATATCTAGAATAGAACTAATACCTGGGTAAAGTGTCCCGACTCTCCACATAGTTTGCAAATAAATTCTTCCTCCTTCCTTTTCTTCCAGTTTCTCTCAGTGGCTTTAGATTTAGCTTCCCATACCTTTGCTTCACGGCTAGTAAAATCAGTAGGAACAGCATTTGGGTCAGGTGCCTCTTCCTCCTCATCAGAACCAGATTGGGGCCTTTTGTTCAATGATGTTTTTTCCTGCGTCTTAGGTGCAGTAGTACCAAGAGGACCAGTATATTCCTTGTATATTTCACTAAAATCATCATCATTATCTGAATCCGGCCTACTGTCCATTTCAGAGTTAAGCAAACACACCTGCAAAGCATGAATGAAGCTAATAAGCATAGAAATGTGATAATTTTCAAAAATTAAAAATTAGTCAAAAAAATCGCCCACAATGCATATGTGAGGGGAAAAACATGAGATTCGTACACTATAACCCCTACAATGCATAGGTTAGGATTGGGGGAAATGGTCATATTTACTTCGAACAATATATTTAAATGTTTCCAATGCAAATATCAGCAGGCCATGGAAAGAAACCGAGCATATGAACAATGGAGAATCTTTAATAAAAAAAAACACACATTAAGAATCGAAGAACCGAACGGCATACAACGAACCCTAAAAACTGAACAATAGCTACCGTGAAAATCAATAATCTGAGAAACCGGGAAGGTGTAAACCTAAAAAGTCGCCTTTTGGTAGATTCGCGGTGGCACCGGAAGACCGACGCCGAATCCTCTTCAGTCTTCACTCGTTAAAGCCTTCCGTCAAGAGCTCGAGAAGTGATACCCCGTGAAGAGAAGTGCTGTAGGAGGCGACTAGGGTTTCCAATAATTCATTTGAGTGGCAGTCAAAAAATAAGATCAAATCGGGCGGACCTAATGCAACCATTTTACTAATGAGTATTAGGGGAATAGGGGTTGTAACACTCAGAGTCTGTATGATTTTTTTTGTTTTTAAAATCTGAGTGTATTCAATCTTAATTTTCAAAAGTCTTTAAAAATCTTGAGATATTCAATAGTGATTTTCCAAAGTCCTTAAAAATATTGAAGTATTTAACTTGAATTTCAAAAGTCTTTAAAAATTTTGAGGTATTCAAGAGTCTATGAATTTTAATAGTCTATAAATTTTAATAGTCTATGAATTTTGTTGGATTTTCTCCCAAAAAATACTTACATTTTCGCTCATGAAAATCTCTTCTCACAACCCTAGATTTCTATGGACTTCCATCCATTCGTCATCCAGCATCCGTCCATCCATCCGTCCTCCAGCGCCTGGTATCCGTCCGTCCCTCTGTCCCTTCGCGAGTTTTTCGTCCACGTGTGTCGCCCCATCATCCACCGTTGTTCGTTTCCTACTATGGTTGTACGACATCACTGTTGGACTTTCGAACAGAAGTGATGTTTGGATTCTACATATTTTTCAAACTCTACATGGATTCTACGAATTTTTCAAACTCTACATGGATTCTACAAAAAAATCAACCAACCTCTACCTGAATTCTTCAAATTTTTCAAATCCACTAACTTTTTGAAATCTAAAAAATCTAATAAAATCTTAATTGAAGACGCTCACCTTAGACTATGTGTTTTGGCTCGCTTGATGGAGATTTGACGGCGCGTGATGAAGTGCCACGCAGATGCCTAGTAAGCGGTTGGGTCATTGGGTGTGATTAAAAAAAACATGTACGGAGTATTATGCAACTTGAAAGAGAAGGCGTGATCGAAAAGTGATGAGTAAAGATGTAAATTATTTTGACTGATTGTAGTGATTGTGTTAAATTTTAATTATTTGAAAAAGGGGAAAAAAGGAGAGAAGTTCACCACGACGGGATGGCTATCACAACCAAAAGGGCAGCCCCTTCTGCCTAGTCTGCATCTGTAATAGTCAATTTGTGAGTAAATTTTAATTTGAAATTTGTAAGAGAATAATTTTATTAATAAAGTTTTTCTATTATGTTCGTGGAGGATTTTAACACATTGTTAGTAAATCACGTTAAATCTCTATCCTCTCCTTAATTATCTACGGAGTATTATTTATGTTCATACTTTCTCGAATATGTGACAACAAGTGGAATGGCAGCCAAATCCTAAATAATTGGGTCTATTCGTCTGTCCAAGCCGTCACATTTGTTCAGCTGTTATGTTTCTAATCAAGTCTGTTTCACTGTGTTTTCCTAGCGTGCCGCTAGTCTGGAGCCATCGTTGGTCATGCTAAAGCTCAGCCAATTCAAGCCGTCGGTCCTCATCGAAGTCACCAATAACACGTCCGTCTAGGTCAAAAATTAGTTCATCTGTTGTTGCTCTATTGCTCTGTTTCTATTGTGTCGGTCAAAGTTGCCAATTTGCAGTGTTCATTGTCATCCTCACCTCCAGGGGAAGTCGCCATTGGATCTACGCATCAGGGTAGAGGTGGACACGGTATGGTTCTGGTACCATCACTAGGACATACAGCTTCTCATACAAAATAATTTTTTAAAATCAGATAAATATTTATCTTAATATTATTAATCTGTAGTTAAATTCTTTTGTACTCTCTCCGTCCCTCTAGGTTCTTCTTGATTCGCATTCCAAGGTTTAATTAAGTTTTTTAATTCATTTTATATGAAAATTAGTGTGAAATTAAAAAATAAAAAGTAAATATTGAAAAATTACCTTGTATATTAAAAGTTTTACAAACTAGATGTGACATTGATATATTACATTATCAAATGGGTAACAAAAATAGACAAAGAATGTGAATAAAGTTTCATCCTATAAATTAGAATTTGGAATAACCTAGAGGGAGGGAGGGTGTACTACATATCTCTTTTGCATTTAATTTGTTGAATTAATAAAGTTTGATGTACACCACTTATACATTAAGTGTATCACGCGTACATTCAACAATTATCTGTACACAATACAAATAATTATTATCTGTGAATCTGTGATACGAGGTATATAAGAAATTAACCTTTAGAACTTAAATTCTTAACTTTCAGTTTCTTCGAGTTTTTTTCAGATCATTCAAATTTTTCCAAGTTCACCAGTTTCTTTTAGTTTTTTCCCGTTTCTTCTAATTTATTCTAACTTTTTTCTAGTTTCTTCTGATTTATCTAACTACTCTTATTTTCTTCAATCTTCTTTTTACTCCCAAGTGATGACTCGAAAAATAATACTACCTCCGTCCCGAAGTATATTTCTCTAGTTTTGACTTTTTTCATTTAACCTATTTCAACCTTTGACATATAACTAAATAAAATATATATTGTATATTAATTAGATAAAATACTATTTTGAAAATATTTTATATAATAAATCTAATAAAACTGTTTTTGTGTAAATATATTTAATATCATTTTTATTTAATCTAGGGTCAAAGTTTACTAATTTTGACTAAAAAAAGCTAAAAGTGGACAAATACTCCGGAAGGAGTATGTTTTCCATGTATTATTATTATAACTATAGTTTATAATTATTTTAATTTTTCTATTTTAATTTTTCTCATGTCACTATTTTGTGATTCATACTCATTATTATTTTCCTTCTATTTTTAATATAAATAATACATAGTATAATTTTATTGGAAAGTTGTTCATTTATGATTTACATGATACTAAATTATATTTTAATTTTTTTGGATATTTTATTAATCTAAATTGACATGGGAAAAATATCAAATTTTTAAATAAATATAGTAATTAAATTACTCTCTCTGTTCTTAAATAAATGACATTTGTATTATTCACATGCTCAAATTTTATTTACTTTTTTTAAACAAATGCAAATGTTTATTCAACCGCCAAAATTGAAGTTTTTACATTCTACAAGACTAATCTATTACATCTTTGCAACCAGGTATGTCTATGCTAAAATTCAACTCTTCATCTTTTTTTCTTCCCTTCCTAATATATGGTAAGTTGATAACATATCCAATGGACAATCTCTTCTTCTAGTGTTCTGCTTTTAGTATGTAAATAGCAATTGTCTGCCTTCTGTCTTCGTTTTCCTCCCATATTCAACACATTCTTCCTAATTTCTTCCACATCCCCACTTTCAATTTTGTAATCCAGCCAATTTGAAATCATGTTAAATATCTCCTTGGTAAACTGACATGTACAAAATAGGTGATTCAAATCTTCCTCTCTTTGGCCACACAGTTCACATGTTTTGTCTATAACAATGAACCTCCCAATTTTTATTTTAACACTTAGTATGTCCTACAAATCAGTCATTGGATTGTTTCATGTTTAGGGATTGTCAATATGTTCTGAATTAATGAGTACTAGTCCAGTTTGTTCTTTAAACCCAATAGCCAAGCATAGCCCTCTTCTGTATTGTATTTCATGGTCATCACCATATTTTCAAATCCTTTTCTATTATGTATGATTTTTCTCCATTAGAAGCAGCAGTCATTCTTTAACATATAGTTACCAGTATCATTTTTAATGTATCTTTCATGCACCTCTTCAACCCATATGTTCTTCTTTTCACTAGCCACATCCCACCAGTAATTGTGAATATAAGCTCTATTCCATAGCACCATATTCCTCAGTCCCAGTCTCCCATAAATTTTCGGTAAACACACCACTTCCCAATTGACCAAGGGTCTTTTAGTATAGTTAGTTGTAGCACCCCATATAAAGTTTCTACAAATGCCTTGCACCCTATTCATGACTTTGGTATGTATAATGAATAATTTGCACCAAAAGCTCATAATACCATACAAGACATTACCAATTAATCTACATCTCCTAGCATAAAACATTTTTAGATGCCCAAGAAGTAATCTGTGAGGTAATATTTTATACTAACCTTTCACATTCCTTCTCGTTGACCCTTGTTGCTGTTATTAGACTCCCCAAATATCTGATGGGAGATTCTCCAATAGGGATATCAGTCGTTTCCTGAAGTCTGTCTTGAACTCTCTTATAAACCCCCCCAAAGATATGTGATTTTGCTTTGTTAATAATACTCAGGCCAGTAGTTCTTTGGAACTTCTGTAGCACCTCCAATTAGATGATTTATAATTAGATCTTCTGCAAAACACAAATTTATTAGTTTGAGTGACCCATACGTAGGGTAGAACTTGAAGTTTTTGTTGTGCTCCATCTGTTGCAGCAATTTGCTGAGGTACTCCATTACAAGGACAAAAGGCAAAGGTAACATAAGATCTCCCTGCCAAATTCCTTTCTTTCCTTGAAAATATCCATAGTCTTCACCATTCAATTGGATTGTGTAAGTAGAAGTAATTCTACAGTACTTAACCCAATGTACAAATTAATGAGGGAAACTAAGCAACTCCATGATCTAAATAATGACCTTCCAACTCACAAAGTCATATGCCTTCTTTATGTTTATTTTGATCAGAAATCTATGGGAATTTCCTTTTCTTTGATACCCTCTAGTGAGTTCATGGCAAAACAACACATTATGAACCAAATCTCTACCTTGAACAAAAGCCCCTTGATTTTGCCCACAATGTCTCAGAGAATTGTCTTCAATCTGTTGCATATTATTTTAGAAATAATCTTGTACATCACATTATAACAAGATATGGGCCTATAATCATTGGCCAAAGAAGGAACTTCAACCTTTTGGATCAGTGTCAATCTGGTGGAGTTAATCTGTTTAAGGAACTTGCCGGTAGAGAAAAATTCCAGAATAGATTTGGTGACCAAGTATCCAATTACTTCCCATTGGTGTTTGCAGAATCCACCACTAAATCTATCTGGACCTGAGCTCTTTTTATTTAGAATCCCAAAAGCTGCTTTCTTAACATGTTCACTACTCACCTCCTTGATAAGTCACATCTGTTGTTCAATGTTGAGTTTGCATTCTCTATTTAAAACATCAGCACACACTTTTAGTTTCATTTTGTAAGCCTGACAATTCTTTGTAGTATTCCAACATTACCTAAACAACTTCATTTCCCCCTTCAATCATCTGACCTTCTTTCTTTTTAATGGTAAGAACCTGGTTCTGCATTCTTCTTGTAACACCCCAACCCGTGTAACCCGAATACTCGGATTAGCGAACTGGGTTGCTACTAAATTGGTATCCAAACATGATGTGACTTTTAAAAACAAACCAAATAAACATTTCAAATCATATTTTGACATTCATCGGAGTAACATTCAAAAATAGTTGCGGAAGCTTTATTTATATTTCAAAACATAACTTGAGAATCATGCCCGAAATAGTAATAAGTTATTTTAAATGATAAGTAATAATTCAAAGTCATCGAATACTGCCACGCACATCTCAGCATCCCCATCGCCCTCTGAGATTGGCTCCAAGCTCATCATTCCCTGGATTACCTACGTGTAGCAAAGGAACAAACGCTACACGCACAACATTTAAGCTAAGTGATAAATATCTAACATACAGCTATACCCATAGATGATCTTACTAGTCTATATCATCATACAATATCATGCATGCAACATGCTCAACAACAATCATGACATTATACAGGATATATCATGCATAATCAATAACATCATCATTAATGAGATACAATAGGTAATGATATAACATCAAGTTCTTTCCTCTTTAATTTACTTTACTTTCTTTTTGTACTTGGCTCTTAACCCATGCTAGGTTAAAGCTTAACTGTAATCGACTTGCCTATGGGAGTCATGACCTTCCCCTTCGGAATGAAGGTCAAGCTCAAACTAACTAGGGAGTTCCTCGTTTGGTGGGTGAGATCCCTGTCCCCTTCGGAACGACAGTTCTTAGATCCCAGTGTACATGTTTTTACCCGAACAACCATTAGACCCAGCAGGTACCACATGACTCTAACTTACTAACTTATGGCATAACTTGCCACTAATCCATTCAGGTCAGTCCCAAGATTTCATTCTAGGTGTTTCATCCTTTATTCATTAACAATTCATGATATACATGTTCATACATCAACCAAGAGTCAATCAACACATTCAACTTGCTCAAACAGTGGCCTAACATTGGGTATTGATACCCATGTTTACCGTCATGCAACATACAAAGTCTCGGAATCGATCCTCGACGCAAATAGAAGATTCGGGCTGGTTCAAGAACCTCACGATACCCTTGGCGGTAGGGGGTACCGTCCCATGGTGCGTGGGTACCGACCGTGAGCGCTGTGACTCTTACCCGATAGGCCTGTCAAGGTAGCCTCTACCGACCTCGCGGTAGGGCCTACCGTCCACCCGGTACCTATGTACCATTTGGTGACAGGTACCGATAGAGCGAAGGAAAAACAGAGTGGGTGACGGTAGGCGGGTACCGTGTCAACGATACCTGGCTACCGTCTATCGCGGCAGAAATCACACCTACACCAGTTCAAGTTCATCCAACCAAAACAACATCAAATTTGTAAATTTCAAGCATTAACAGGTTCTAAATCAATACCCAAACATTAACAAATATTCCCTTAAACAATTCCAAACTAAATCATGCTTGTCAACTGGAAACACATAAACAAGGCATATTTCACGTAAAGTCCAAATGGATCAACCGTAATGATTCTAAGAACGTAAGATTCAAACCTATGACTATAACCATACGTTAGATGTCCATGTACTCACATTGAATTTGACGTTACAAATTATGAGATAATACCAACGACGAGGAAATTGCACGGTGACGGACTTCCCTTCTTCTTTTTCCTTATTTCCTTCTTTCTTTTCTTCTTCCTTTCCTCTTTCCCTGCTGCGCCGCTGTTGTTCCATGACCGAAAGAGAAATGAGAGATATGGGAGGGAGTTTACGTAAATTTAGAGTGGCGTAAAAGGGTTTAGGCGTGTAGGGAGTATATTTATGCCATTGGGATTTTGGTCTCCGTATTAACATAACGTACCTGGCCCAACGCCCTTTCCGGGCCCACGGGCTCCAAATCCAAATCTGATTGCACCGTTGGATTCGTTCCGTCAAATCCTACACAACGGTATATGTCTTATTTTCAAACGAAAAATATTTCATAATTTCCACCGAGTCCGTCTCAGTAATTAATTAACTATTTTTAATTGATATATTCTGATAGGCCGGGTTTCGGGGCATTACAATTCTCTTCAAATCTGCTTGAATCTTTTGCAAATTAGTTCTAATGGCCTCACTCTTTTGGTACAAAACCTTAACTTATGTCTATGCAGGCTTCTTAGATCTTTCTTCAATTCTTTCAATTTCATGCAGACACGATACATAACTCTTTGTGCCACTTCCTTCTCCTAGACCCTTTTAGTAATTGTTGGGAATTCAGGATCTAAGGCCCACGTGTCATAGCACACCATCCCCCGAATAGTTGATTACTCATAATTCTATGAGCCGAGGAAGGAAAACTACGACGATGGCTCAGCCTAACGCCGATGACTCTCCTTCCTCCGCTCCCAACAACCCTCCACCCGACGCAGCGACAACCATCTTCACCAAGAAGAGACCAAGATAAGTCGTCAGTCAAACCTCCGGCGACGGTAGCGCTCCTCCCTCCCCTCCGTCGTCTCACCTTGCCATTGTTCAATCGGAGCGCTCAGCCGTCGTGGCGGTGGTCGTAGCACCTCCTCTGCCACCTCCGGCACCGGCACAGTCGAACACGCAGTGTTCCGTGTGCTAGAGGCGGTTCCAGAGCCGCCAGGCATTGTTTGGCCACATGAGGCTCCGCAGTAACCGCAGTTGGCGTGAGGCTTTCCCTCCTCCAGTTTTCAACCGTAGCGAGTTTACCGACGTGCAGGAGTGATGAATACAGCCCACATCGAAGACGTGGCGGCAGGTGAAAACGTTGTTACGGTGGCTCTGTTGCCTCCTCCTTCTCCTTTGGTGGGTAATGAAGCTCCTACTCATGGCGGTGAAGCACATGTGCTACCAAATCTCAACGAGCCGCATTACCGTGTCCCAGATTTAAATTTTCCTCCACCACCTGCTTAAGGAGAAACATCGCCGCATGGGGTAGTGGTGGGTGGCACGCATAGGGATGGATGTTCAATGCATGCATAAAGTTATAATATGTTTATTTTTATTTTGAAATAATAATAATATACTTGCACACACACATTTTTGTGGTGAATTATTTGTATATTATATCATACCATACTTGTTTATTTTAATTCCTTTTTATTAGCCAATGCAAATAAAATGCATGCGTTCGTCTCTTTGTTTTACCATAATATTATTATTATATGCTATCTTGTTTAAAAAAAGGCCCACATGTCACAATATCTGAAACTTTTTGTATTCTTATTGGATCCTTAGACAGTAATAACAGGGGAGTGATCTGAGAGTCCCTCCTCCTTGATCACCAGTTTGCAATCATATTTTAACAGCCATTCTATGTTGCAAAGAGCCCTGTCAATTCTAGAGTAAATCATTTTCCCTCGCATTTGTCTATTAGACCAAGTATAATATGCTCTTTCCATACGTATTTCTTCCCGTCCACAAAAATCTACACAAGCTCTAAAGTCCTTAATTTCCTCCATTCCTACAGTGTTACCCCTAATTCTATCCTCGTGATATAAGATACAATTGAAGTCCCCTATCAAACCCTTTAATATTATTGTGACTACCTTTAAGGTGAATCCACAAAGCCTCTCTCTTAACTGCATCATTGTGGGCATATATAAATGTAATTGCATTCAGATTGTCACCCCCAACTCTCCTAAAAATACAGCGAACCAATTGATCAGTACTCTTTACTTTAGTAACACTATATTCCCCAGGATTCCAAGTGACCCAAATTCTCCCCAAGTAATGCTCTTGATGGTTTGTAACATACCTCCAGTTCTTTGCTACCTTTCTTTCCACTTCTTGGAAGTTGTTCTGTAACACCCTAAAACTCGGCCTATCAGAATTAATTAATTAATTATAATTAATTATTTATTGAGACGGACCCGGAGTTTATTTAAAATATTTGTCAATAAATATTGAAAGTTATACCGTTGTTTAGGATTCGACGGGACGAATCCAACAGTGCGATTGGATTTGGATTTGGAGCCCGTGGGCCCGGAAAGTTTGTTTTGGGCCAGGTACGTTAAGTTAATACGGAGCCCAAAACCCCAAAAGTATAAATATATTCCTTACACGCCTAAAACCCTTTACGCCTCCCATATTACTATTACGTAACCCGCCTCTCACTCTCGACTCTCTCCTTGGCCGACCGAAGGACAGCAACTTGACGCACGGAGGAAGACGAAGGAGAAGAAGAAGAAGAAGAAGAAGAAGAAGAAGAAGGAAGAAGGAAAGAGGAAGAGTTCGTCGCCGCACGTTTCCTCGTTCGTTGGTATTGTTTCGTAGAATTAATCGTCGAATTCAAGGTGATGAGTACGTGAAACCCTAACGTTAGAGTAGGCAATTAGGTTTGAAATCTATGTTCATAATCGTTGTGATAATTGAATTGCATGAAAACCTATATGATATGATAATTCTGAAATTCTTAGGTTTTTGATGAAATCTACGGGTAGAACGCATGAACTAGGCGTATGAATTGGTGTGATATGACTTGGTTAAGTGTAATATGTGTTTATTATCATGATTGACACTGAATTGGAAGAATCGGGGTTGGTTATTGAATGGAAAACGGGCTGGTGCATGTCTAGGTATCTGTCATGGCGGACGGTAGGTCGGTACCGCCGCCAGGGCGGTACTAAGGTACCGTCACCTCCCTCATTCCAACCTCCCTCTGGCAGTATCTGTCACCAACCGGTACCCAAGTACCGGGCGAACGGTAGGCCCTACCGCCCAGTCGATAGAGGCTACCGTGACAAGCATACCGTGCAGGGGAAATAGATATTCCGGTCGGTACCCACGTATCGTGGGACGGTACTTCAGTACCGTGGTACCGCTAAGGGTACCGTGAGGTACCTGAACCAGACAGTACATCATGTTTGGGGTACCGTGAGGATGGATTCCAAGGCTTGTGTGTTACATGACGGGAAGTATGGGGTGACAACACCTCAGACTAGCCGCTAGTTGCTATAATTCATTTACAAGATGTTGATCCAACACATATGTGATTATGTTGAATATATAACTCTGTCGTTGCAAGCATGAGTGGGCTGATACAGTAAACAGGTACCGCGTGTTGATCCAATGCGCTCAGCAAGGTAAGTCTACCGAGAGGGAATCCTCGGGACTGACATAAGTATTAGGAAAGTACGAGTATAAACCAAGTGGATGCCTGCTAGGCTCCAATGGTTAAGTTAAACCGGGTAAAAATGTACGTACGGGTATCCTTGAGTTGCCTGGTGATCCATCAGGTGGGGATTCCACTCGCCCAACGGAGAACTCATTCGTTGGTTGAGCATGACCCATTGATCCAGTGGAAACAATCATGACTCCCAAAAGTAAAGTATACGACCTTAGTCTAGAATAGATTATAGGGCCAGGTTCTTGGTGATCCACCAACCACGATGAATCCACAGGTTTGAGGAGAACGGAATCAGGCAAGTGCCAGGTAAATTGTGTGAATTGAACTGTATGTGTGACGTATGTGTTGATTGCATGATATCACATGACTATTATGAATTGTGGATTCGTTTGATTCTTTACTTGACGTTAGATATATCTCACTCAGCGTCAATGTTGAGCGTGTAGTTATTTGTGTGCTACACGCAGGTAAACAGGTAGAAGATGAACATAGAGCCGATCCCGGAAGGCGATGAAGACGATGAGATGTGGGTGGAGCTAATCGAGGATTTCGAACTTTTAATTATTAATGAATAATTCATTACGTTTTTGGGCATGAGTCCCAAGTTGTGTTAATTTACTTATTAAGCTTCCACACTATTTCAGTTTACTCCGATGTTGGATTTTTTATCAAGAACTGTTGGATGTTTTAAATTGTTTTGAAAATTAGCGTATGTTTGGATACCGGAATAGTGGCAACCTGGTTCGCTAACCTGTGGATTCGGGTTATGCGGGTTGAGGTGTTACATGTTCTCCTTTATTCTTGTCTAAAGCATTGCCATGAGACCAATTTCATTCCTACTAATGAAATTTCTTATTTGAGCTTGTTTATTAGGGCTATTCATGCCCCTAATGTTCCAGCAACCAATCATGTTAGAAATGGATAATACCCCTCACATGGGTCATCATGAAAGACTTTGTTTATCCCTCCAACAAACTGCTCTTCAAAGATTATACCTCTCTTTGCACTTTTCTTCTTGTCTACTATTTGAAAATCCTCTTCAGCCCTTGGTGTAGGCTCTTTTTTATTGGTGCTTTCCATCTGAATCTCAACCTCTTTATCTTTTGTTTGTTCAGCTTCCTTTTCCTTGTGCTCAAGGCTACTTTTAGGTCTCCAAATCATGGTTTGGCTCTTGACTCTAGCTTCTTTCCCCTCTTTGTTTTTACAAGTATCCTCTGAATGTCCCAATTTTTTGCATTTCCCACATTTAGCAGGGAACTCGTCATACTCAATCCTTTGTGTGACTACTCTCCCTCCTCATCTAGGAACATGATTTTATCAGGGAACTTATTCTGAATGCTCACTTTAAGTTGTATTCTTGCATACCCCAATTTTGACATAGTGGTTGCAGCTTTATCCCTTTGAATTGGCTTGCCTGCAATATTCCCAATTTTACTCAACCCATTGAGACTCTAGTATTTTAGGCCCAAGTTAGGAAGTCTTGCTCATATTGGTATATAAGTCAATTCCTCCAGATTAATCTTACCACATGGCTTCCATTTTTGAACCAACATGAGTTTGTTATCTATAAAATAATACTTTCTCCTTGTGACTTCTTCTGTCTCTTCTTCTCCGTCAAAGTGGACAACAAACTGCCATTCTGTTAATACACATACCCCATCTACCTTGTATTCCTTCCAGATTCTTTGCAAAAATCCATCAATTATTTTCAACGGAGGATTTGCCCCTAATACATAACACAATATAGTAGTATCCTAGCTATTAGAGGATTCTAACAAGTCTTCATTAGACATTTTCTCCATGGTTACCCCATTAATTTCCTCTATTTCCACATACTTCAAATCAAATTCAATATTTTCATTCGATCCAACTACCTCAGCAAAGGATCGTTTGGTTACGTCTTCCGTAACCTTTCCCCCCAAACCCATTTCTTCTGTCTCTAAATTCTTCCTATCTTTATTTGAGCTTTCATCCAAGGTTTTATTCATCCCTTTCGATATAGATCCAGAACCAGGAATAACATCTTTACCTGAAGACAATTCACCAATGTCTGGTGATCCCGCATCCTTGTTCGTCATCGATGGAGTTCCTTCTGCCGTCGTCGCCTTTTTCTTCTTCCTCGATCGCCCTCTTTTCCTCGCCTTCATTGCTCAGATAGAGAGTTTTACAACTTGGTGTCACTTGAATCTTTAATTTCTATTCACTTGTTAACCATTATGAATTTTATAATAATAATAAGTATACTAATTAAGAATAATAAAATGATAGTTAATAATAATAATTATAATTATAATAACAAAAACTATAACAATTATAGTAAGAATACTATGTAAAAATATACATAAAAAATTTCTAATTTTTTACAATATTTTCTAGTTTTTTCTAGCTTATTTCAGTTTTTTTCTAGTTTTTTCTTCTTTCTTCAAACATTCAGCTTTTTTTCTAACCTTAAAGACACAGACTCTAAGGCCATGTTCTCTTCTACTTATTTTTATTATTTATTACTTATTGAAATCTGACCAGACCAAATAAGAAATAACTTTAAATATAACTATATTAAGATTAAATAAGATCGGAGTTTATTCCAATCAGATTAGAACATTTGGTGTACAACCCTTGTTGAGAACTAATTAATTCGACACAGTTCTTTGTTTTTCTCCTTACGGGTGGGGGCGCTCCGTGATGGTTCGTGATACTACCGCAACCTATCACAGATCGCTCTTATTTAAACGGTTCGTTATCGGTATGGTATGAACCCTAAAACCATTCACTACCATTCCGTTTTGAAATGGAACTATACAATACCATACCTATGCTCATATATTACCAAAAAAATGAACACGCAACACTCAAAAAATATTAAAATAAAAACATAATTTTGTATACAAAAGCACAACTTTGTTAAAAAGAAGTATTGATTTCGAATTTAAAAGGATCATAAACATAAAGAATAAAAGATAACGAGTTCAAATTTTAAAAATGGGTTTTTTTTCAATTCATACAATATTAGACTATTACTCCCTCGCCCCGGAGTATTTGTCCGCTTTTGATTTTTTTCGGTCAAAATAGGTAAACTTTGACCCCAAATTAAATAAAAAATATATTAGATATTGATACAAAAATAATTTTATTAGATCTATTATATAAGATATTTTCAAAATATTATTTTTTCTAATTAATATACAATATATATTTTATTTAATTATAAGTTAAAGGTTGAAAATAGTTGACTTAATCAAATCAAAACTGGACAAATACTCAGGGACAGAAGTAGTAATAAATTTAAAAAATAATGTTAATAATAGTAATAAATATAATATAAAGAATATCAATGAAAGAATTTTAAAAATGAATATGAAGTTGACAAATAATTATTTGAGATACTCCACATATCGGTTTTAAATATTTGTATCACGGTCCCGTCCTGTTTGATATCGGTTCGCTTTTGATTCGTGGTGAAAAAACTCAATCACATTTAAAAACACTATAAACAATTCAATACCATTACGATCCGATATGATATTATGGTTGTTCGGTTTTTTTTGCTCATCCCTTTTTCTCTCTAGTAGGGGAGGATAGGAGGACTCAATTTGGGGTTATCTATCCATCGCTCTCCGTCAGAAATACAATTCTAGTTTTTTTAGTTTTTCAGTTTCTTCTAATTTTTTCCTGTTTCTTCTAATTTTCTCTAATTTTTTTAGTTTCTTCTAATATATCCAACTATTCTTATTTTCTTCATTTTTTACCCCCAAGTAATGACTCGAGAAATAATGTGTTTTCCATGTATTATTATTATTATTATAAATATAGTTTATAATTATTTAAATTTTTCTATTTTTATTTTTCTCATGTCACTATTTTGTGATTCATACTCATTATTATTTTTTTATTATATTTTTAATATAAATAATACGTAGTACAATTTTATTGGAAAATTGTTCTTTTATAATTTACATGACACTAAATTATGTTTTAATAACTATGGATATTTTACTAATCTAAATTGACCTGGGATAAATAAAAAAATAGTAATTAAAATACTCTCTATGTTCTTAAATAAATGACATTTGTATTATTCACATGGTCAAATTTTATTTAATTTTTAACTATCATGAATTTATAATAATAATAATTATTATACTAATTAAGAATTATTATTATTATTATTATTATTATTATAACAACAACCACAACAACTATAACAATTATAATAAGAATACTATGTAAAATATACATAAAAAATTCTTATTCTTTTACAATAATTTATAGTTTTTTCTAGTTTATACTAAGTATTATACTAATTAAGAATTATTATTATTACTACTACTACTATTATTATTATTATTATAACAACAGCCACAACAACTATAACAATTATAATAAGAATACTATGTAAAATATACATAAAAAATTTCTGATTTTTTTACAATATTTTATATTTTTTTTAGTTTATTTAAAAAAATTCTAACCTTCTTCTAGTTCTACTCAGTTTTTTCCTTTTCCAGTTTCTTTTAACTTTTATTTTTTGTCTAACCTTAAAGACACAGACTCTAAAGGCTATGTTCTATTCTACTTATTTTTATTATTATTTTTATTAGAATTAAATCACATCAGAAATAACTTTTATTTATAATTAGATTGAGATTAAACAAGGTATTTCTTTGTTTTTCTCCCAGGACTCAATTTGGGGTTATCTATCCGTCGGTCTCTCCGCCGGAAATACGACGTCATCTCCGGTCTTCTCCCAAGTCACTTTACTTTTGTCTTTACTTTCCGCCCTTTTCTCATTCCATTGCACATTCAATCAATCGTCCCTTCATCTTTAAGTTGCAGAAAACCTCAGATTGCTGTAGAAATTTTTTACTGTATTTTCAAGTGGAGAGAGATTCGCACCGGCGGAAATTTTGGGGAAATCCATGGCGGCGGCCGATCTCTCCGATGATTTAGACCAGCTACTCGACAGTAAATCCCTTTTCTCTCCTATTCATATTGTTCTTGTTACCTTTTCTGCAAATATTCTTGAATTATTTGAGGATTCTTGCTCTTTTTTTGTGTTAGGTTAAATCAGAAGTTATGTATTTATTTATTTATTAATCAGATACTCCACATTTAATTTAGAACACTAATTTTCAGGCGCTTTGGATGATTTCCAGAGCCTCAATATTGCTGCTGCTGCTTCTCAAAGGTGTCCATTTTTCTCGTTTACCCTTTTTTGTTCTTCTCCATCCGTTTAATTCTAGCATCTTACAGCCACTGGGTATCATCTATTTTAGCTGTATTTTTAAAATTCTATTTGTTGGGTTAACGGAAGTTATGATACTTTACTTGTTTGGGCACTATTTTACTTTTATAAAAAGTTAATATGATGGAAATTAGTTCTTTTGTTTAAAATTGGAATCTTTATGCCGGACAAAACTATGTTTGGAAAGGAGGGAGCATGTGTTTTCTTGATGCTTAAGAAGTGAGGTTTTGGATGTGTTTTTGAAAAAAGGGTTTGGGTTTGTAGGAGTAAAGATGGAGAAGAGAAGGGGAATTTTATGCCGAGTGAGGTTCAAGGGCTAGGGATGGGATTGCCAGATTTGAGAAAGAAAATAGGTAAGCAAAAGAAGGATTCCAAGGCAATGAAGGATTCGCATGCTTCTGAGGCTCTAGATAAGCTTACAGAACACACCATGGAGGCTGTGAAGGGGTTAGAATCGATGAACGGATTGCAGCTTCCCGGAGATCCGAATTTTGGGAATGATGCAATGATGGAGGAATGGGTCAAGCAGTTTGAAGAGCTTGCTGGCTCTCCGGTAAATTTCTTGAATTTCCAAACTTTCTGTGTAGAGAATTTTGAATTTTGTCTCCATTTTATATTGTCTGTTCTTGCGTCTAGTTTTGTTAAATAAATTTTAGTTGAGAAGAACACATTCCAAATTTCATTTGAGTTAATTGCCAGCCGAAATATGTTAAACTGAACTGGAATGAACTAACTAAATTGAAATATGTTGAAAGGAACATACCGTGAGTTGAAGTGAAAACTTCAAATCAAGAATTTTGATATATGGTATCTCTTTATGTGCTTTTGGAATAATAATGATAATACTAATACCAACGGTAATAATCATCGTAATTTGATGCCCTGATTTCGAGGTCGAATGCGTCTCAGTTTGAACTGATATATTGGCATTTATATACCAGGACATGGAGTCAATGGTTGAGACAATGATGCAACAGCTTTTATCCAAAGAAATTCTGCACGAGCCTATGAAAGAAATGGAAGACAGATACCCTAAATGGTTAGAGGAAAACAAAGCTAAACTGGCAAACGAAGAATACTGCCGTTACAACAAGCAGTATGAACTCATAAAAGAGCTTAATCGAGCTTATGAAACAGATCCAGCAAACTTCAAGAAGATTGTTGACCTCATGCAGAAAATGCAAGAGTGTGGCCAACCACCTAATGATATTGTTCATGAGCTAGCCCCGGATTTCGACTTGTCGACTCTTGGTCAAATGTAAGTACACTTAACCTAATCTAATAATTCCCCGTCCTGAAAAAAACTTTATCCACTTTCCCTTTTTGGACATCTTAAAATACACTTTCCACTTTCTGTATTCCCTTTTTTAGTAATGTATTACGCATGCACGAAGTGCTATGCAGCACATTTGTAGATAGAAAAATGACAACTGTGAAAATTAGCGATTATTCTTGTATTCAAATGTACTCCCTCCATTCACTTTTAACCGTTATTACTTTTGTGACACATCAAAAGTTGAATGAATAAGGACATGTATCATGCGTACATTCATTCGTTGTTTTGATGTATCAAGAAAGTCATAATGTAGTGTTAAAAATGAACGGAAGGAGTAACACTTACTCCGTATATTGGAACATTATATTTTCTCTCTAAAATGGAAGTGATTTAGGAAGCAAGTAGTTCATTATTTAGAGATGGACATGAATGTTCCTTGTGCTTTTGCAGAACCCCAGAGATGCTTGAATCTAAACCAGAATGCTGTATTACATGATATGACTTGCGAGGTCTGCCTTCTCTTCCTGTCTCAGCTTATGCTTTGGTCAATTCATATGTTATCCTTTTGCAACTTGTATCACATTATTCACATCCTTTTTCACTAGTTTTTTTTGTCAATCAGTAGATTGATCATAGTTACTCGTTTGATACCGTGCGGAATGGAATTGGGCGTTTTATAGGGATGTAAACGAATAAAACCCAATGTTCAACATTTTATTATTTGTGTTCTGTTTTTTTTGGACAAGTTTTTTGGTTCAAATATCTTTTTTGGTATTCGTATACGATTCGTTTATCAATTTTACATAAGCCGTTTCATTTGAAACTATTTGAATTCAAATATGAATTATGCATCGAGTCGAAATTATTCGCTTTATTTACATCTCAAGTGTTTGGGACTTTGGGTTATAATCGTTCTACCCGTTCGGACCTCTAAGGTGTTTTTATGTTGATTATCACATGTGTTGGCTTACTCTGTTTTCACTTGCTAAATCTAATTAATGTTGGAGCGATACATTTTAAGAGTTTTAATTAATAATAATACTCCCTCCGTGCAAATAGTCTTTCGGTTTATTATTCACATAAATAAATTTTATTCACTTTGTTGGTCTATTTTTGTTGCCATTTTATAAAATAATATGGTGATGTAATTTTTTAAATATATATACTCTGTAAACATCATAACGTGCTACAAAAATATAATTTTTAGACGGAGAGGAGTAATAAATTTTTCTAGGTCTTGATTTTGAGAAGTCATTACACATTATGACATTTTTAATGCTAGTAGACATTTAAGAACTCTTTACACACTTCAATTAAATATCACCAAAATTATACTTGTAATCCTACACTCCTCTTGTGTTCCTAGTAATTGTTCATTATAACATTTCACATACACCAATAATTAAATGAACGTAGAAATGCATTATAATATATTCATTTAATTTTTAATGTAAGTAGAAATTCATGAGTAATTATTTAAGAACGGAACCAATAAAAACATGAAATTTCAAAAAATATAGTATTGTAATACTTTCTTTCAAAAAATATTCATTTTTTCCATCATGTTAGTTTTTTTCAATATTTTTCAACTCTTTTCATTTTTTCAATTCCTTTAAGTTTATTTCAATTCCTTTTAGAATTTTCTAAAATTTTTTCAATTTCTTCCAACCTTCTAGTTTTTTAATCTTTTTCAATTTCTTGCAACTCTTTCTAAATTTTTCTAATTATTTTCGATTACTTTCGGTTTTTTACAACATCTAACTCTGAAATTTTAATCAACAAAACATGTTGTTAGTGTGAAATTTTTTATTGGGGCACCCTTTTTTGAACCAAATGCATAATACTCCGTATATTTCATCACCTCCAAGCCAACAAATTACATAGATTTTGTTATTTCGGGCTTTTTGAAGATGGACGTTGCACACTTGGCAAAGGTAGGGAGTGCCAAGGGGTATACCCGAGTTCGATTCCTGGCAATTACGTTGGAGACAACTATGCTAAGCATCTCTGCAAGTATCAGGTGCGGTCTTCACTCTCCGCCACCAATATGTGATTAAAGTCTAATTAACTCCTCTTAGTGACCGTCTCGTCAGGTCAGAGGGGGCCTTTGGGTGATGGGGCCAATCCTCTTTTTTAACTTCTATTAGAAGAAGAAGAAGAAGAAGAAAGATCCATTTTAAATAAAGATGCCCATAAACATCCATTTTTACTCTTTTTTTAAATGGATGACCAATCTTCTTCTTCTTCCTCCTCTTTTTTACTCTCTCCGTTAATATTAAATAAAGATGCCCATAAACATACATTTTCTTTTATATATTTATTTATTTTTTTTAAAAGTTGAAAAATTTCTCTACAATTAGTATCGATTCAAAGTAAAAACAAATATTCACATGTAAGTTCTTCTAGTCCTACCAATCTATCCGTTTTTAGAATTTGTTTTGATTATTATTTTTGAATATAAGTTTTTTTTCAATTTCAAAATATATTATTTAATTTAAATAATTTTCAACAACAAATTAAGATATAAAGTTTTTAAAAGTGCTGATACTGAGAAATTTATGTGTAACAAATACGAAATTTAATTTTCATAGAATAACTATTTTTGTTAACTAATTCTTTAAATATAATTTGATGACATGACGTGCTAACATGTAAAAAAAATTACCCAATAAGCACGCCATATCTAAAGATTCAAGAAGCCTAACTCTCAAATTTTATATATAAAGATTACGGAGTATATATGGGTAATTTAACTACTATACGGGGAAAAGAGATTTTTTCTTATGTGAAATTTGATGGGTAATTTAACTACTATAAAGATTCTTGCCTAATTCTTCGATATTTTTTTAAATTTGATGTGAAATTTGTACTAAATAGTACTAAAAATATGCCTTTTCATAATGTAGTACTTACATTTTTTATTTCCTAAATAGTATTTGAATAACGTCTGGTGGCAGGAACAATGTCAAAAAATGGTGGACATTTAGTTTGAATAATGTCTAGTGACGGTGTACATTTACTTGAACAATGATCAGTGGACATTAAGCAGTGGTACTTCATTGAGAAATATAAATATATGGTATTACATTGAAAAAGTCACTATGTTTTAGTACCACTTATGTTAATTTTCCTAATTTGATTTCAATAGAAATAAGTAAAAGTAAATAATAAGTATTCCCTTCGTCTCAATTTATATTGCATGTTTTGGTTTATGTTGTTTGACTGGAATTATTTTCAAATCATTTTATATGAAAAATAGTGTAGAATCAAAAAATAAAATTTACAGAGTACATGTTAAAATTCTACATCAATATATATATATATATACAAAACTAGTGGTGACATGACTATTTTATCTTATCAAATAACTAACGAAAATAGAGAAATTAAAAAATATTTGATCCTGTGAATATTAAACAAGCAATTCAAATCAGGACAAAGTACAAAATATATATGCACTATATATTAAGAATTAAGATCGTGGTTTTTTTATTTCAATAAAAAAATATAAACAAATTTTAATACTCCGTAACATGTACTCCGTAATACACAATTTCGTAATTTTTTTCATGATTAAAGTTTAGATTTAACTACAATTAAAAATTGATAAGTACTTGGTTTTCCTTTTGGCAACATTGATCTATTTGAGGTTCCAACATTGTGTTCTATTCGGCCTAACCCTCCCCACAAGGCTCAAAACTAACCCGAGCTTCCCCATAACAATATATACCGTACAACCGATTGCTGTATATTTCTTGTACATTCACGGCAAATACTCAATTATGTGTAGTAGAATATGCATTTCTTAATATTTTTTATTTTATTGTACATTCATCTTTATTTTATTTGAAATGAATATTGTGTTAATCATAAATATACACTATGTATAAACGTAATGAACATTATGTGGTTCTCAAATGAGCATATGAATAAGTACTACAGAGTAAAATAAATAAAAATCCAAAATGAACATTATGTTACTTGAAAGAGAAACTCGTACATGGTCCTAAAATTTATGATTATTTTATAAATTTTAATGCATTGATATCATAAAATATTAGGTCTTTTGCAAAAAAATCACTTGCCAAGCTATAAAACGTGATGAAATGTAGATTTTAAAACCATAGAAGAACAACTTTACTTGAAAATAAGTATTCGAACAGAGGCAACCCCTTCTTTGGTAACCCACACCAACCGAATACACAACCAATCATGGTAACAAGAATCATCTCATTTAAAAACCACATTTTTGAAAATTTAGAATCATCTTTTCCACACTTCCAAAGCAAACACACCCCTTTTTTTTAACCAAGAAATAGTTCTACTCGAACAATAAAAAAAAGTTACATTTTTTGTTAGGGAGGGAATAAGTATATCTCCATTTACAACCCGTGCCTCACTACGGAGTAATATTTACTCCCTCCCTCATTAAAAAATCATTTGAATGCGGACATAAAGTGTGTCCATATTCATTCAATTTTTGATGTACGTAAAAAGTCATAACGAACCGTTTAAGAACAGACCGAGCGAAGCAAACAAGAAGAGCAAAGAGTTCATACAAAAGTAAGTTCCACGCTAAGGTCAGCATTTCTTGGATCTAGCGAGCACACAATCTTTGACGAGCAACGTGATCCGGAGATGCATCCCCGGCTCTGTACTGCCACGGGCTTCTCCAAAAGCTTCACCCCTTGCTTCCAATATCTTTGTTCTAAGTTTGAACACACAAAAAAAGTTATAATTTTGAAGAATCATTTGTTTCAAAACTAGCTGATTCTGAAGAATCAAAGAATTAATGAGTATGTTTCAAAAAAAAAAGAATTAATGAGTAGACCAGTTCTGAAAATCAGATTCTAGGAAACAGACATAAACTGTTTTCTCAAAATCTAAGACAAATCCAACACTCTCCTGATTTTAAGGATCAGAGCAAAAATAGCCATAATTTTCTTGTCTGATATATAATGTCTTGACTTATAACCATACCCTACCTGGCCCAGTTGATATGACGATGGACTCTCCCGCATCCATTACCCAATCCATCCAAAACACCAGTCCATGGCACACTCCTAGCTCCGTAAATTCAAACTGAAAACTTGTTATTTTATTTAACTCCATTAGATTCGGGGCTGTGACTTTTACACTATGTTTGGTTCGAGCAATTTGAAAGGGGAAAGAAAAGAAAATGAAGTGGAAAATAGTTTTTCTTGTTTGGATAGAGGGGAAAAAAAGGAAAAGTAGAAGGAAAAGAAAATGAAAAAGCAAAATATACCAAGTGGAGGGAAAACCAAATTCTTCTCATTTTGGTGAGGAAAATGAGAGAAAATTATTTTCTTTTCTTTTTCTTGAAAATGAGAGAAAACCATTTTCTTTTCTTTTTCTTCCAAATTCCTTGAACCAAACATAGTGTTAGTGAGAAACTCTGAACTGTGACTTTAAAAAAAGATGCAAGAACATTATAAACAATCACCTCAGCTTCTCCGGAGCACAGCCGCATTGGTTCTTGGAAATTGAATTCCATTACAGTAATGGGTTCACTCAGTTTCTGCAACGATTTTGACTCATTTTGATCAATTCAAACAAACCCTTTCATGATTCTTCCTTTTTCCCAAAATAAACTTCACATTTGTCTTTTTTGTCGTCCAAAAGTAAATCTAACACTGCACCCATTCATTTTTGGGTCATGCTAAACTGACACCAAGAATGACACTAGAATTGTCGATACCACTGTCTCACAGACACGCCCCAAATGGGATGTGTAACATATTGGTGTCATTTCTGATGTCATTATTGGTGTCGCTATAGCTTTTTTCCTTCTTTTTTCAAGGAATGGATTATGTGACCCACAACCTCTCTCATCTAAACAGATTTCAATCACACATTTTTCACTTTTCAATGCTTTTCTTAAACTCTGTGAAGTCAAACTACAAAACTTTATTTGGTACGGAAGGGATATTAGCATAAACATCATCAATGTTACCTTAGTCTCCCCACATTGCCAAATAAAGAAGGGCAGACAAGGGCTACCTTCCCCTGCAGGTAAATCTCCACATGCACCTAAAGTGGAATTGACCACAGAATGGTCAAAACCTTCGATGTCTTTCAGGCATTGCCGACTTCTCCAAAGATCCTAAAAAACATGATAGTCCATCTCAAGTCATTTGTAGTAAGAAGAAATCAAAATGGAAAATGAAAATCACCTCAACTCTCACAGAAGAGGGTATGTGGATGTCTGTGAGAAGGTGGGGGTGAGAGTTGGGGTGCCTTAACATGGTGCCCATGGTCCAATCAAAATAGCGTCACATAAACTTACGGGAAGGTGCATTGCACATGCCTTTAAGAGCCCTTTACAAGGCATTATCACCACATCTTTTGACAATAAGGGTTCCATCATAGTTCTTTCCTTCCTATTGCATAAATCAAGATGAAGAGTTAATATGTGTGTGCATGCGCGCCGAGGGGGGGATTACTACTTACCAAAACCGCAAATTTTGCCATGGGAGTAAACCATCTCTTCCATAATAGAAAGGTTCTGCAACCAATACGTCAACCTGCATCGACATAGAAAAATGGATATGAGATCAAAACTATTAAAATATCACCTTAAGGATGATTTGTACGTCCTTAGAATTCAAGAACAAAAAATCAATTCACGTGCAAAATTGAGATAAAATCAGAGAATAGTATAAAAACATAGAGAATTGTAAAATATCACAGTGATTGTGTGCTAAACAAAATTGTTGAAGAAAACATTGATATTGATGAGGGGATTGGGATAAATGTGTTAGTAAATGAGGACATATGTTCAAAAAATTACTTTGGTCGTTCGATTTATAAGTTCATACGAAAACCTCATTTATGACAACCTTGTGTGAGATAAAATCTTATTTGCGGTTAGATTAATCGCTCTGGTTTTCAAAATCTTCTACCAATTTAATTTTTTTTAAAAGAAAACCAGTTTTAGTAACCTTGTGTGAGACAAACTCACCAAGGAATCACGTATTTCAATCATCTCTAATCATCATAACCACAATCACCTTATTCTCAGCTACGCCGGGGCATAAGACATGAAACTTAGTGTAATTTAAGAGTCATAAATGAATTAAAACAATAGATTCATGCAAAATAGCAGAGTGACAAAGTTTTATGCTTTCATGTTGCAATTTTCAAAATAAATAATGATGAAACTCAAGCCAATATACGTAGGTTTGCATTTGTTACCTTTCTTTCATGTGTGGCCTCCATGTTTAAGCCCGAGTATCTCTGTTTTAAAACAGTAATGCAATCCATCGAGTAGCCGTTTGAATCAGCAACAGCTTGCAGATACTGTTCTCCTTTCTCTCCCAGACCGGGAAATGCAGATTTGACATTGACATTTGATGCTCTGCCAAGTTGAGCAATAGCAATTGTCAAGAAAATGCTGTCATCAGCAACAAAGCACAAAGGAGACACTTTATGCTTTATCTGAAAGAAAAAAAAGAAATAAAAAAGGTGAACAATACTACAAGTTAATGTAAATCCAAACAACAAAATTTTATGGAGAGGATCTCACAGCATTGTGAACTGCTTCAAGCATTGAACATCTCCAATTGCTGTCCCCATTAATTGCAATTCTTTCTGGTGATAAAAGGACTTGACAATCTTGGGCATATGGTTTGGACTGTCTAGCTTCCATATTTTGAGAAATTGTTTTTACCACGTAAGTGATGCTAATATTGGTATGAATGGCATTTAAATAGACATTTTCATCTTTATGCACCGGTAAACCTCTGTTTGGAATGAACCAAACACATTGTTTCCAATGATCACACCATGCTTTAGAACCTATAATGACATGCACATACATATACACATACAAGTATAATTAAATAAATGCACTTATGATATAGTATATATTTGGATTCGTATATTTTTAAAACATCTAACTGGGAATCTACTAAATAGGAAACTCATTTTAAACCAGAAGATATATCAAAAGTAAGATGCCTCAAATTTTATTGGATGTCCCCGAAGGGACAAGAGAGATGCCTCAATTTACATGATAGGTTTAACTCATTCACATCAGGTAGGCAATGTAACCAATTTGGCCCAGTGGAATAGAAGACTGTCCCTTCTCTATCGAGCTGAAGCAACCACCTGAAAAACTAAAAATATCACTAAAACTCCGGCGAGAAATTGATCGTAATATATTCAGGAGGGCCATTTAAATACCATGAGATCACAGCATGAACAGTGCCACCTTTTGTTGCCTTAACAAGCAAGTTTGTTTCCCTAGAGCTTTCAGGCCTTTTCCAGAAGTCAAACTCAAATACTTTGAATGGTTCTGAGAGCTATAGGAAATTTAAATAATAAATTAATAATCAATTATGAATTATGACGATGATGATTTTACAAAATGTGAATAAAGAGTACCAGTTTAATTTCATCACTGATTGCCTCACAATGCATAGGATATTGTTGGTGCTTGACACATATTATTGTCTCCATGCCTTTCGGAACAAGACAAATTGTATCTGACGTGTTTTCCTCATTATTATATAGATCATGCATCTTCCACAAGTCTTTGCTTTCAACCAGCTGAAAGACAAATATGCCAAATTAGAACTTATAGTCAAAATGGCAACTTTAATTAAACCTTAAATAATTAGGCGGAGGTGTATGAAGTAAGGTAAATTAGTGCCATGAAAAGGCCAAGATTTGGTGAGTATATATTGCAAGACATAGCAGGGAATAAGAAATTATACAAGCGAAGAGAACTAAGAGGGTGTTTGGCAGTGCGCTGCTTTTAATAATTTAGCTTCTGCTTTGAGTGGAAGTAGTTTTACTCTGTTTGGCATGTCTGCTTTTCACCACCACTATTTTGTACATAGAACACCGTTTCAGAGAAGCAGGTATTAGGTGCTTTTGCTTTCAGCTTTTGTGGAAATCACTTTATCCACAAGTTAATCACTCCCAAACACCTCTAAGTAACAACAACAACAAAGCCTTATCCCACTAAGTGGGGTTGGCTACATGGAACAAACAGTGTCATTGCGCCCTATCATGGCACTTAATCAAGTATAATAAAATTGCAAAAATTTCCCATATGTGATTTGAAATTGTGTAGCTGTAAAACTTACGGAGTGTTCACTAAATCTAATATTTCCATTGTGTCCATGCCAATAAAGCTAAAAGAATCATTTTTTTAGAATGTTTTAGCTTCAGATAAATAGTGGAGTGAATCAAAGTGGCACATTAAACTACCCTTGAAGCAATACATCAAGAGTCTAACACAAGTACACAACCTCTATTTTTATAGGGGTAAGATTGCGTACAAGGTTCCGATAGTACTAGTTTGTTGTTCTTGTTTTGATGCTGTAAAGTTTAGATTTTCCAATTCAAATGGCTGTTTCGAAGATGATGATGTAGGCATTACAAACTACGGAGCATTTCCTATTGGATCAGCTCATAGAGTACAAAGCCTTCTTCTTTTCAATAAGCTCGCAAGGAAATGCTAAATACATATGCACATTTAAATTAGTTTAAATTAGAAAAGAGATTATGAGACATCTGCATTCATAAGTGAATAGAAACTGCAACTGAGGGAAGATTAAATACTTTTCAAGACCGTTGGCAATGTTCAGTCAGCCGGAATACATTGAAAAGAAACGGGAATGTACAATTTGCAGAAAATCAGATTTAGTTTTGGAAACCACCTGACCGTAAATGGTTGCTCGGTAAGGCACTGTTTCTGGATTATCACCCAAAAGATTATCATGGGCATGCTGCAAAGTTGGAATTAGCCCCTCACCTAACAGCTCTGAGTCTAGAATTTCACTAACCTGAACTCAAATAGATGATCAGAAATGGGATTATCCATACCATGCTACTAAAAGAAGCCATACAACATGATGTGACGAATCCACGAAAAAGCTTGGAATTGATTATCAAATTTCATAATGACCTTGAGACAATGAACTCACAAGAACATCTGCACGGGATGCTATGTCGCTGCCAAATTCTAATTCATCTGACCTCTTATTAATTATGCGAATTCTCCTCTCCATACCATTCTCCTTCAAAACTCTCCGCATCAATTTCACCATAGGAAGGTATGATTCACAAGCCGTAACCATCCCGTTAGAACCAGTGCAAGACTCTGAATCCACACGACCCATTGCCCGGGCGGCCATCATGGACAACAATCCAGTTCCAGCACTGCAAAATAAATTCCAAACTGCATTCTAAGCAACATGTCTGTTCTGTTAAAACAAAACCCCCCATTTCATTCTAAAAGAGTAAATCAGGAGAAAATTTTGATCTTTTTTTTGTTTGTAGAAAATTTTAAGAACAAAAGTGTACCCAATGTCAAGAACGTGGCAAGGCTTGGTTACAGTCTTGTCAATGGCCTCACGGAAAGCTCTGTTTCTGGGGGAGTCGTTGAGCATATCGAGATACGACGTCGTGGAAAGAGGTGGGATTGGAGTTTGGGAGTCGGGAGTTTCGAATTCCTGGACAACGACCCATTCGGAGTTTCCGGTTAACGGGTCAAGCTTGAGCTGGAACATTCTAGAGCCGGAGCTCATGTTACAGGTAGTGGACCGGCGGAGGAAGGGCGAGAGCAGAGAAATGACGCAAAGGGGGGATTTGGGGTTTGGGGTTTTGCAGAGGGAGAAGAGCATAGAGGTGGAAGAGAGTGGTCAGTGGGATGGCGGCAGCCAATGCCTCTCTTTCTCATTCACTTCAATTTTTTTTAATGTCACTCCTTATTACTCTAGTCCCAAAAACATTTTCCTTTTTGAGTTTTATATGGAGTATGAAATTTGATTCTTTGACTTTCCAAAGATATTATGGGTAGATTAACAAAGGACCATTCATTTTTCATACTTAGGATAGTTCCGTTCACCTAATTTAATATGATCTGATTTTTTAAAGTTCTCATCTAATCTTATTGGATATGATATGATTAAATCTGATCTGATTCAATCTGATCTGATATAAATTCAATTTAAATTAAATTTAAAATTGTTATAATAACACTTATAATAATAGTAATAATAATAATAAAATATTAATAATAACAGTAATAATAATAGTAATAATAATAACAACTATAATAATAATACTAGGAAAAATAAATAATAATAGAAATAATAATAATAGCAACAACAACAACAATAAGAATAGTAATAGTAATAATAATATTAATATTAATAGTAATAATAATAGTAATAATTATAATAAAAATAGTAATAATAATTATAATCATAATAATAATAATTATAATCATAATAATAATAGTAATAATTAAAAATAATAGTTAAAATAATAATGGTAATGATAATTGTGATAATGATAATAAGAATAGTAATAAAATAATAATATAAATAATGATAATAATAGAAATATTGATAATAATAATAGTAATAGAAATAGTAAAAATTACAATAGTAATAATAATTATAATCATAATAATATTAATATTAATATTAAAAATAGTAGTAGTAATATGAATAGTAATAATAATAGTAATATAATACTAATAATAATATTAATAATAATATTAATGGTAATAATAATAACAATAGTAATAATGATTATAATAATAATAATAATAATAATAATAATAATAATAGTAATATGAATAATAACAATAATATTGTTTATATCTCATTTGATTAGACTTGATCTGATTGGATCTAATCTGGTCTAATCTGATTAGATCTAATCTAGTGTGATCTGAACTGATTTTAATAAGAATAAGTAATAAGCAGAAAAAATAAGTTGAAAGGAACACTCCCTTAGTCACCACATATCAAATATCAATAATTTAGTTCTTAATTATTATATTGTTTTGCACAAATGATCCTTTGTTAATATTCTCGTTAAGAACATGGATAAAATTGAAGATTCACACTCCTCACTCTTCTCAATTAAGCCTCCTCCTTCCTCTCGTACGCCTTCTCAAACTCGTCGCTAAGTTTGAAGTTCTGAACCAAAAACCAAAATCATCACTCATCTCTGAGTTATTCGTCTTCCTAGTGGAAGACAAAATTGAATGGGAATTTGTTTAGCAAGGAGGCTTTGGTTGAAGCCTTGTTAAAGAAGAAACAAGTGCCTAATCAGTTTTCATACATAAAGGGATCGAGAGATATGGTCATTGCTTCTATGAATCGCTGGTCTTGAAAAGCTCACTGCAAAACATTAGTATTCCACAAAAGCTCCGATTTTAAGCCTCTACAAAATGTCGTTTGAATCTCTATTTTTTTCTAGTGCAAAAACTCAAGCCATCCATTTTCCTCTCCAGTACAAATACCCACTTCAAAAAAGAATTAATACATAATGTTAGGTTTGTATATTCAGCAAAACGAAGGAGTATGCCGTAACAAATTATGGACCAAGACACAATTGCCAATAAGACCCGGAATTCAAACGATCCTTGACCGGTTCAGCTGTTTTCCTGAGTTACCCACTCTCATCATCTGTGTAGATTATCAAGTACACCCATAAGAAGACACAAAGCAAGCATCATCCTAGCCTTGCCTCTCTTCGTAGAACCTGGAGCATGAAAACTCATTGGTCTTAAAAGCAGCAGNCCCCCCCCCCCCCCCCAGTAAAATCCCACAAAGAGTAGGATCCGGGGAGGGGGGCGTTACCCCTACTAGAAAGTAGAGAGGTTGTTTCCAAGTGACCGGCATAGACAAGATACACACAGTAGTACGAACAAAGTTAAAACACTGAGACAAGAAGCGCACATACCGACATAGGGTATTGGTCTTCAAAGCATTTGAATTATTATTATTATTATTAAGGTGTAGAAAATTGGAGTACAATAAAATTCAAAGGCCTTCAAAGCATTTCTATGATTAATGGGATGTTGAAAATTGGAATATGAGAGGGTTTACTCTTGCCAGTACAGTGTGCAATAATTTGGCAAGACTTTGATCCTTCCCACTTTTGGTTCCCGACTATCGACTTAATACGATTTTTGGTTTGTTCCGCAAAACAAGTCATAAATGGGCAGTGGGCAGGAGTCCATAGTAGAAATTTGTAAACCAAAAGAGATGAGAATAATCAAATAGCCATGGGATCAACTGTGAAAAATTTCTATAGTTTATACAGAAGCGTAGAATCTCATACTCAAGTCAACTGAAACACAAACCAGTTCATGGAATGGAGTGCATAAGATGCGAGTAAATTACCTCTTCAGAAAACTTAATCAAAATGGTAGTTCGAGGTCGTTGCTGCCCTTCTACTGGGACAAAATGAGCCGTTACTACTGCTGGAAACCCAGCATTGTCAAGTACACCCTTTAACAAGGAAAAGAAAATGTATATCGAGTTACGGAGCATTAGACATGGTTGGTATAAAGCCTATAAACAGACACCATTTGTTAATCATCCTTTGTCTGTTCAGCATAATTTGAGAAGAAAGTAAGGAACCTAAAAGTGAGGGAGAAAATAAACTTAAATTTGTCTTTACAAGGATGGAACTATAGAAGGAAATTCAAGTTTTCTTTTTCTTCTATTTCTTTCCTATTTTTTTCAATCCATTCACACAAAATCAAATCATGTTGTCTTTTCTCTCATCCTACTTTCTCAATTCTTTCCTTCCTAATTATCTTTTCATTCAAAGACAGCATTAGTGCACCCTTTGAAAAGAAAATAAATGAGTCATTTTATGAGATATGGTTAGTATAACATAAACAGTTTTGCTCACACTACATACCCTTACGACCCCTGCAGCAAAAGCTCCACAATTGAAGGCACCCATATCCTTAGGAATCGAAATAAATCTATAATCAAGTGCAGTGTGTTAGCCAGAACCAGTTGAAGATAAAACTTCCAGCATGAATTAACAAAAAAAATCATCAGGAAATGCTACCTGTTCACAAGAAGCTCCTTTTCACTGATCATATATTCATCTTCATGTTCAGTTCCCTTCTCAAGAGAGTCAGCAATCTGATTCAATGCAAAAAAAAAAAGATGAATCGTCTTCTTTTCCTTGTATATTTCAAAACCGAACACCAAGAAACAGAGTACAGGTATATATCTCACTAGTCTGGACTACGCAGAAAGAAAAAAATTAAAGGTATAAATAAAGCTCACTAAAAAAGTCTGTCAACATAAGCATTCTAAATTTTCTGATTGTAATACATGAAAAATAAATATTCATATTCATCGCAATTCACATGATGTGAAAAGGAATGTGTTTTTTTCCGCGTGGATTGCAAGCGCATACAAAGTCAGTGATGAACTTGATTTCATTAGGAGAGCCCTTGGCAAGCTCTAGAACTTAGAGATTGGGAAAAGTATTAAATACTAAAACTAACCTTTCCAAACAAGACTTTCCATACAGTGCTGTGCACGAAGGATAAAATACCAATTAAACGTGTCTCCCTTCTATTCCCCTGCAGTATTAAACCATGATCAAGACTATGAATTCAACTTAAAGGCATTTCAAGTGGCATTGCTGTTGTTCCGAATCTGAACAAAGTGCTGATATTTTATATCTCTGTGTGTGTGTGTATTTTTTAATAATATTGATATTAGTATTAAAAAAGAGGTGTGTGTGTGTGTGTAAGAATGCATTTCCAAGAATTCTTGAATCATTTGCATCTTCTAAAACCTCCATATATTTCTTATGGAAAGGGTCTTCATAGAAACAGTTTCTCTAACCACTACTAGGGGTAGAGTTATGGTTTGTGTACTCAGTATGTTTGGCTTTGTTATAAATAGGTGAAAGGAAAACTTGTCGAACACCTATTATAACTCAATTCAACCAAATTCGTGAAGGAAGTATGTGTAGCTACAATGTTGTCTATCATGTACTCCGTACTTAAAGTGCAACATTGTTGAACCAAGCCGGATGAAAATTTCAATGATTTGATGTTTTTACCTTTTCTCGATGGCAGAGAAGTTCCAAAACTCGCGCCCCAACAGCATAGCCTGCATCCTCTAACCTGATCCAGATCCAAAAGTAATCATTACAACTATTATGTAATGAAATGATCGTTAAGTTATTAAAATAATAACTATCCGCCCAAAAAAATATACAACTACTTCGGAAAACGGAGTATTTTTTAATGAAGACCCACGAGATCCTTGACTCCAAGGTAAGATACTAAGATTCCAATTGCATACAAAATGATCTGTTCATATGAAAACAGTCTTCACTGTAAACTAATCAGTTCAAGTCTGTAATTTGTTCCTGCTCCCATAAGTTTCATCGGTATGAAGTCATAAATGCTCAAAATATTACTACGGGTAAATTCATAAAATAACATGATAAAGAAATGAATAAGGGAAGATCAAACATCACCTTCTCTCCAATTCGGCTATGTTATCAACCTGAGTCTGGTTGTACTGAACTAGCTCTGAGAACAATAATGCAAATGCGCTCAAGCTGACCTGTGAAAATATCATTTCTCCGAAACTCGCTCAATAGATATAATCTTCTTTCCAAATAATAAGAACTCGCAATTCAAAGTTCAGATCTCATTTTCCAAAGACACTCCATTACTAAATGCAATCACAAAAACTGGTTAAGAGATCGAAATTCAAAGGATCGAGATTTATAGATTTACTGCGCAGATGCAGACGAAGTTTGCGAGAGAGATTACCTCTTGTTTCCCCTTGCTGAGGGGTTTATCGAGAACGTTTGTGTATTGTTTAATTTTGCCAACTCCAATCATCCTCACAATGTGGCGGGATCGACAATATATGTGCCTCTCTT